GAACTATAACATTCATCACCTTATTGAAAGTCCTGGCTTCCTTAATATTATTTATTGGCTAAAAGAGAAGAGGCATTTACCCTGTGGATTTTTATTCTGAATATTCATTATATGATTTGGTCATTTGCCCAATATTATCAATTTAGAGACTCCAGAAACAAGATGGTTCTGTGTGGCCTCCATTCCTTGTAGAGGCAAATGGAGATCACTGGTGATGGCAGACTAGTGAGAGGCTGGAGTCCACTCTGCAGATATTTCTCTAGTTCTAATTCTGTGAGATTTCCTGGAGTGACATCAACAAACTACCCATTCACCCCAGATAATGAACTAGTGACAGAAGTAAAGAAACCGTTTCATCCCAGTGTCGTTTTGTAAAGCAATGGGTTTAACAGGGATCATCAACCAAACATTGTTAGGAGGAAACTTAATATGAGCATGGACATTTATGAACAGATATATCACTGAAGAAATCTCTCTCTCTCTCTCTCTCTCTCTCTCTCTCTCGAAACCGTTTCATCCCAGTGTCGTTTTGTAAAGCAATGGGTTTAACAGGGATTACTAACCAAACATTGTTAGGAGGAAACTTAATATGAGCATGGGACATTTATGAACAGATATATCACTGAATAAATCTCTCTCTCTCTCTCTCTCTCTCTCTATCTCTCTCTCTCATGTTGTTATCTGCCTATATACCCCCTGGAACAGGAAAAGCATGCTGAGACTCTCCTACCCTCTGTAACGGAACATCATTGACCCCAGTCTCGTACAGATCACAGGTGGGAATCATAAGTTCTGCAAGTCAAGAGTAATATCCATGTCATGCTCAGAGGAAGCTGCATCCTTAGCACTTGATGTGAATATTCTGACCCTGGGATAAGAGAAACCAGGGTTGAAAGGTCAGGTGGGAAAACAGAAAATTCCTCACCAGAAGCAGGATAATGGAACCGAAGTGGTCCACATCCTCACACCCAGAGCCTATGACTATATTATCCCAGATGACAGAATGAGCTTTAGTTAAGATGTTGAAGAGGAGCTTCTCCAAGTGATATGTACACAATGAAAGGTCCTTCTTTATAAGGTAAAGATGAAGACAAGATGGTCAGACTCAGATAAAGAGGTGAGACGATGGAACAGATTGGGGAAAAGGGAGCATTGGCTGGATTAGAACTGGACCACAAACAAAGGGTTTAGAAAACAACAGAAGACAGAGGAAACCAAGCAGGGTCTGCCCGATGACCCGTGATAAGTAGCATGTTACTATAGAGTCACCTTGAGAGTATGACCTCTAGTTGTAAGATCATAAGCCAGTTTGTTACATTGAAAATGAGAACTTGCAATGATGGACACCTGTGGGTTTTGACTAACAGAAGTTCTGCAAGCTTGGAGCCTCGACGTCATTTAATGAAATGAAATACAGAAACCCACAAATGCTGATTCTCTGGACTGGAAGGTGCACAAACCAGGTGGAAAATAGACAGGGGTCAAGACATACCCATTTTGTCTAAAGGACCTGCAGAGATCTGAGTTCTTCACCAAACTACTGCACTGAAGAATAAAAATAACTTCTTGGAAGAGAAGTTCCCCTTCCTGTGATGCTGCTGGTGGGTCAGTCCCATGACAGAGCAGACCTGTCCTCAGAACAACATCCTGTCTTTCTGCACCACAGAAAACAGCCACACCAAACACTACCACAGCTCAGATTGCTAACCAGGAGTCACCATGACCCCCCTGCTCACAGCCCTGCTCAGCCTCGGTGAGAGATGAAAATGGGGAATGGACTCTCCATTCTGAAAGGGACCGTACCCCTCAGCTGGGTATGAGTCCACTGGCAGACCCCAGGGGATCAGGAGTATGCAGGAAGGAGAGGATCTTTCAGGATACAGGGACAAAGCTCTCAGAGGGATTTCTCTTCCAGGACTGGGGCTCAGCATCAGGACTGCAGCACTGACAGGTGAGTGCATCTCCAGCCATCTCCCTACCCTCTACTTCACCCTAGAGATCAAGTGACCTTATGTTCTGCAGTGCCCCATCCATTCACTAGGGAAATGGAAGAAATCCATAGGATGATTCTGGAGATGTCTGTGAGGACCCTATCCTGGGAGCAGGGTTTGGAGGGAGTAACGTTCTTGGACCTAGCCTCTGATTGCCTTGCAGGGACTCTCCCCAAGCCCATTATCTGGCCTGAGCCAAGCTCTGTGATTGCAAAGAATATGCCTGTGACCATCTGGTGTCAGGGAACCTTCGAGAGCCTGGAGTACCAGCTGCATAAAGAGGGAAGCCAAATTCCCTGGGACAGACAGTATCCACTTCTGATCAAGAACAAGGCCAAGTTCTCCACCCAATTCATGACAATGGACTATGCAGGGCGATACCACTGCCGCTACAGCAGCCCCGCTGGCTGGTCAGAGCTCAGTGACCCACTAGAGCTTGTGATGACAGGTGAGAGGACACTCAGGGGTCCCAGCGCTGGTTCTCCCTCAGAAGGGGTTGGCTTTCCAGGTTATCCCTCTCTCAAACCCCACCTCTGGAGAACAATGTGAGAACTGTGAGCTCATTTAACATGCTGCCTCCTTGTTTCCTAGGAGTTTACCAAAACCCCAGCCTGTCAGTCCTTCCCAGCCATGTAGTGACCTTAGGAGTGAGCATAACCTTCCAGTGTTGGTCAGAGCTGGGATTTGGCACCTTCATGCTTATCCGGGAAGGAAAACCCAGTCTCTCCTTCACTTTGGACTCACAACATCACAATTGACAGTTCCAGGCCCTCTTCCACATAGACTCTGTGACTGCCAGGCACAATGGAACATTCAGATGCTATGGATATTTCAGGAACATTCCCCAGGTGTGGTCGTTTTCCAGTGACCCCCCTCAAGGTCTTGATCTCAGGTGAGGAAACCCTGACTCCATCCTTTCTGAGATCAAAGAGGCACTCACGGCCATGCTTTAAGGAGAGCTCTAGACTGGCATGGAAGTAAAGAATCACCAAAGAGGTTCAACCTCAGAGAAACTCAACACTCAGATAGGAGCAGGCCAGCAGCGTCTGTGAAAGAACCTGCTCCCCTGGACCCTAGTATGCAATAACAAAGATGCAGAAGAGCATCAGGGATGTTGGGGGAAGACAGATTTGATAGAGCAATCAGACACAAAATCTTCCAGAGTAGCCTCTTCCTAGAACCTCTTGTGGTGCTCCAGCCTGCAATGCTCTGGACCCTGCACCATAAAAACTCACGCATTCCTCAAAGGGGTCCCAAAGATCTCATGGTGGCCAGGGACTACAGTCTCAACCAGGCTTCTCTCAGTCTCTCAGTTTATCTCCTTCCTCAGTCCTGACCAACATTCAGTGGCAAAATTTGTCTGGCAAGTTGGAGATTGGTAGAGGCCCAGATAGGATCTCCAAAAGCCCAGAGTCTCAAAACCTAGTCTGCAAGAGAGTAGGTCCAGTTTGAAGGAGAAATTGAGGCATAGCCCTGAGAAGAAGCCAATGAGAAGAGATGGGGAGCTGCGAACACAGTTCGTCACATCCCTATTCCACTCCCACAGATCCTCAAGACCAGTCCAACACCACCATTGAATCTGGCACTGGGAGTGGTGAGTGAGAGCTCTGCTGGGCAGTGGGTACAGCAAGACATGAGATAGCTATAGAATTGAAGCCTCCTCTTGAGATGAGGAGGTTAAGAATAGAATCCATTCTTACTGATTCGGATAATCTGCCTCATGCTCAGCCTGGGACTCAATGACTCCCCATGTCTAGAGTCTGCTCTCCTATAAACATATATATTTATATATATGTAATTAAATGTGTGTAAATGTATATAAGGATATGATTTTAGATATGTTTACAAGTAACTGTAATGCAATTATGTTTTATAAACATATGCATGTGTACGCATATATGGAATTAGATGTATATTGTATGTGTATGTATACAATTACGCCTGCATATGCTATGTGTAAATATACAATTGCATATTTACATGAACTTATACTGCAGTTCATCTTCATAATGACTAGTCTATCAGTGTTTATTATTCTCTATCCTCTGCAGATTTACTAGCTGCACATTAGAAAAAGCAGGCATTTCTATATATGTTTGGGTGTCTTGATGACTCTGTGGGCTGCGCTGTGGGTTTTCTAACTATGTGATGATGATTAGTTAGTGAGAATTTTTCAGGATGAGGTAGCACTATGGTAAGTGACTGGTGAGGGTGAAGAGAAACCATCCCCTAATGTTTGCTTCTTTGTGAAACCATCCCCTAATGTTTGCTTCTTTGTGACAATGACGTTCAGGAGCTTGTGAGGATTTAGCCCAAATATCCAGATCTTAGATCCACAGTTGGTGAATTAGCCCAAGCTGTCCTTCAGGAGAGTAAACTCATAGAATCCTTGATTTCACAATGAACAGAGAACACAAAGGCTTGATTAGTTCTGAATAGTGAAATCATTTTCCTCACTCATCTGGGGCTTTCAGAATTCAGGGTAATGCTATTCCAAAATGACTCAAACGCAAGTTTTGAATTTGTCCATGTCTGTGGATCTGAAACAGAAGGAACCTTGGTGCATCAGGGGAAAATATCCATTCGGGGTCTGTAGAATGTTATATTGTGGGAATAATGAGCTTTGCAGAAAAATAAGAATCACATCAAAAAAATTACAAATAGGGAGCAAAGAGAAAAGGCTCATTTCTTAATAACGTCATAGATCCTATTCACCCTCTTTGTTTCCCTGGGGCAGCTCAGACTATTAACACATTACAAAACATGACAGAGCCTAAGACAGGCAGGGCTGGTGACTTCAGACCTAGACACAGAGGGTCACGGTCTGTCCAAGAGAAGGGGGTACCCTGAGGGATAGCCACGCATTTGGGAGAGATTTTTGTCTGCCCTGACATCTGTGACTTCTTTACCCACAATCCCAGCTTCACAGCCCCGGGATCACACAGTGGAGAATCTAATACGAATCACTCTGGCAGCGCTGGTCCTAGCCACTCTTGGGATTCTGCTGTTTGAGGCTCTTCACAGCCAGAAAAGGGCCAAGGATTCAATCAGGAGGTAAAAAGAGAAGACCACGCACCTACCTTAGCACAGTTTGGGATTTCATGCAGTTGGTAGCAATAATTTAGAGGTCCATGAGAATTCCCAGGGAGCAAGTGTCTTAAGTGGAGGGATTGCTGGGGATTGTTGCAGAGATCACATACTCTGCTCAACTGTGGCATTTCCCCCACATCTTCTCATATAGATTTGCTCATTATCTCCTCCTCTTTTCTTGGTTCCATAATGTGATGTGCACACAATAAGTAGGATTGGGGTCCACAGCTTTGTGTACCTTCAGTTTCCCTCCCTTTTGCTGAAGATACCACACACCTCAAACTGAGGACTGGGAGGATTCGAGCTGGAACTGACCTGAAAGCCGCGTCCCTGAAGACTAGCTATCATAGTATCAGAAGGTGATATGCAAGCTGCCAGGAAGAAAACCAGTCAGTGATTAGCTGACCCATCTCTAAAGCCTAAGAACCACAACAAAGACCAGAACAGCAAAATATATCTGTTTGTGCAATATTAGCACTTCTTTCCTGAGGGTAATCAACAGCTGTCTAATTAGCCTTAAGACCCGCTCAATAGGAGGGAATCCATGCCTTGGAATGTGACGAGAGAAAAATAATCATAGTTTGAGAGGTCATAGACCCTAATGGAGAACCTACTACAGCCACTTCCCCAAAACCAATGTAATCCCTTGTTATATTTTAAATATTCATCCTTGTATTCACAATAAATGCAGCTCTCATCACTTGTCAAGGGAGCTTCTTTTTCTAACAGAGTCAGGCTCTTATGAAGTTCCACAGATGGGAAAAACACAGAGAATTAGTGACCAGGCACCACCTTGCAACTGAAATATCTACAAGGGAACCCATACACCTGAGGCTCAGTGAACCTCGCACAAGTGCGAACAGAAAGATGGGAGACACATGAACAGGACCTTCTGCTAGACAGCGTGTTCAGACACTTCCTTAAATTCACACATTCATTAGTGTGCATGATGAACGTTTCTCTTCTTGCTGCAAAGAAGGAACATGGGCCCAATGACAAAAAGAATGAGCCTCATCAGTTAAGAGCACTGGCTGCTCTTGCAGAGTACGTGGGTTCAATTCTCAGCACTCATAGTGGCTAGCAACCATCAGTAACTCCAGTTTCAGAGCATCTGACACCCTCTACTGACCTTCATGGGAACTGAATGATATGGGTGCACTTATATACATGCATGCAATACATACATACACATAAATTAAAATAATAAATAAAATGTTAAAAAATAATGAGCCAAAAATCAGATTCCAGAGTCAAAAAATGGAATAAAATGATGCTATATAAACTGTCATCTTCAAATAATCTGTTGGAGTGACTCAAAATGGCTAAGAGAAGTATTCATGACAGAGTCAAGAAAATACCATATTTGTACCTATATCTGGATGGGTGTTGGTTCAAATAGGCAGATAGGATGGCAGGTGGGTTGGCACACTGACACAGTAAATTCACAGAGAAAAATATCACTACAAAGATAACTAATGATGATGACCGACTTGACTATATAGGATACAAGACAGAAGAGTAATAGAGGATAGATGATGATAGATGATAGAGAGATGGATGGATGGCTGGAGGAATGGATGGATGGATGGAGGGATAGATAGATATAGATGATTGATAAATAGAGACAGAGAGAGTTGATAGATGATGATAGATGATAGATAGATAGATAGATAGATAGATAGATAGATAGATAGATAGATAGATGATAGATAGATGGATGATAGATAGATAGATAGATGATAGCTAGAAAGGTAGATGATAAATGGATGATAGATAGATAGATAATAGAGCAATAGATAGATGATAGATAGATAGATAGATAGATAAATGATAGATAATTAGATATATAGATGATAGATAGATTGATAGATGATAGATAGACAGAAAGATAGAAGATTAGATAGATAGATAGATAGACAGACAGATAGATAATAGAGATAGATAGATGATAGAGAGAGAGAGAGATGATAGATAGATGATAGATGGATGATAGATAGATGGATGGACAGATATAGAAAGATAGATAGATAGATATGATAGAGACGATAGATAGAT